ATGACATATAAGGGTCAACTAATATCGAGCTCGGGGTACGTATTCCGGATCATCCACCGGCTTAGCTTGAAACCCCTTCGATACGAATCCACCATTAGGTTGTCAAAGCTCGGCGAGGCGATGTACTCATCGACAGCCTTTTTCTTGGCATCTTCAATACCTTGAGAAAAGATCTGCGTCCTCTCCCTAATGTCCTCCTGAAGGTATTCGACCTGATGCTGCAAATCCAGCCTCAGGTCCGCCATGTGCTTCACTACGACTCCCATGGCCTCGGCATCTCTCTGAGACCTCGCCTGCTTGGCCTCTGCAACACGAGCAATCGCCTCAACAGCTCGGGAAGCCGCCTCAGCAGCTCGAAAAGTCATCTCGGCAGCACGAAGAGCCTCTTCAGCAGCTCGCGCCTGCCTCGAGCTCCTTCCCACCTGGGCCGCCAAGGCGTGGATAGAAGAGTTCATCTACCAAAAAGAAAGAACGAGTGATCAAAAGAACAACAACAAGAAGGATAAAAACAAAAGAGCTCGATAAAAAGTCTGACTTACCACCATGGCATGAGTAACAGCACGGCAGACCACCTGGTGCAGAGGGAGTTCAGTCCACGCCGCGACCTCCTCGGGGAAAATGGCCTCCTTACTCTTCTAAAGAGCGTAGGTCGGCGACAGTACACTCCTGAATTCCCCTGGGGCCCCCGAGCCCGAGGGCCCAGCTCGCGTATGAGCAGACCCAGAGTAAGCAGGAGCACCAGAGTAGGTGAGAGCCCCCGTGTAAGTAGTCTCAGCATATGGGCCCCCTGCCGCTTCTTGCATTGGAGGAGCCATCTCGGGCTCCTTGGGCGGATCCCCTGACAGGTAGTCCGGTACCCCGGGCTCCGCATCCCGGGGCAGCTCGGCGCGAGTTAGCTTGGTGACTCGCTTCCTCCTCTTCATGCATTGAAACAAGTACCCACCACGGGTCCTTCCTGAGTCCTCACACCTGCAAAAAAGAGTTCGGCATCAAAAAAAAGCCAAACAGAGAAAAATAGAACCTCCAAGTAAGAAACCTACCCGAACTCAGGTTGGCCGCAATGAGCTTGGCCTCCGTCAGATACTGTTGGCACTTTAGCCCAAGCCGCTCCCATTGCCGAAGGCCCTTCACCGTCTCTTTGTCAAGCGTAACACCGGAGTCAGGCGCGGCCACCCCCCACTCGGTCTGAAACGGCCACCCCCAGCACACTTCGCACCCCGAAGTAGTCCCGCTTTCACGCCGGGACCTTGTTAGGAAGTTCATGTAAAAGCTTAAAACCCGGGCGAGGAGACAGGTAATACACCCGCCTATGCCCGGGGAGGAGACCCGCTTGCTTCTTAAGCATTAAGATGGAAGAGAAGATCTCCAAGTCTAAAGGAAAGCCCTGCTCGCAAAATAGGGAGATTGTCCCCACCAAATTACGAATGGAGTTCGGGTGAAGCTGGCCGACCGTAACGCCGAAGTGATTCAAGACCTCACTAGGAGGGGATGGAAAGGCAATCGCAGCCCCGCAGCGAGTTGCTCCCGAAATATCACGATCTCATCAGGACCGTGTTCCCATGGAAAGCTACCCGAAGGTATGAAATAAGCGTACTCCACGGGCAAGTTGTAATAGGTAATAAGGGATTGGAGCCCCTCAGGCGTCATGGTCGAGGGGCCAAACTTGTCTAACATTCGACCCCGACGAGAGGTGGACGCCAAACTACCCGAGGCGACTCGACCTACGGGTTCGAACTCTTCCTCGAGCTCTACTTCCGGCTTGCTAGGACTATCAGGGGATGCAACTCGGTTCGTAGAACCTGCATCTGACCCACTTGAAAAACCGTCTGAGCTATCCGAGCTAGACATCGAGTAGAGAAGGTGGATTCCAGGAAGGTACTCACACGGAAAAAAGCTTGAACAAGACTAGAACTTGAACGAGCAAAAACCTTGAACACGAACTGAAAGCCTGGACGCGAGCTGAAACTTGGACGCGAGCTCAAGAGGCAAATCACAAAAGTTACAAAGCGACTGAGGTCCCCCACTATTTATACCCACAGTGACTGAGAAGCAACAACACAGATCAAAGCCAATTTGACGGCCCGCAGTCGTGCTGACCGCACGTCCCCTGAGACCGAAATGTGATTGGCGCACGTCTTTCTGAAACTGATAGAGCGCCGGTGCACGTCTTTCTGAAACTAACAGAGCACTGGTGCACGTCTTTCTGAAACTGACAGAACGCCAGCGCACGTCTCCTCACATTAAAGGCGGCAGCGGCACGTTTTCAAAATTTGAAAAGACGCCTATTGTCACGTCACCCAGCGGCGCGCTTTTTTGATTTTTGAAATAAAGCGCGCGCTATCACGTTTGGCAGCATTTGTAGGCAGGTCGGCGCATTTTCCATCTTTTGGGCGCTCGAAGAAACTAAGAACCCTGACAACGCACCTCGCGCTATCAGTCAACCGAGATTCGAAGTACGGGACAAATCCACCTGCCACCTTGCGAACTCCCCTCGCCAAGGCAAGACCTTTAGCACGAGGAGTGGGGGGCAATTGATAAAGGAAGATTTGGCCCGACCTCGTAATCACTCAACACGTGGCAAAGGCAAACAGCTCGGCACAACAGCGCGCCCAGGGCGCGAGCACCAAAGGGAGGAACCAGCAGTCTGAACTCCCTACAAGGAGCCCGAACTCCCACCAGCAGTCCGAACTCCCTACAAGGAGCCTCAACTCCCTACGAGGAGACCGAACTCCCTACTAGGAGCCCGAACTCCGTACGAGGAGCCCGAACTCTCCCTTAGGCCCCGAGCCACACAAGGCAATGACCCGAACTGGCCCACCTCATGGCAGTTCGGGACACTCCCTATCCGAACTCAAGACTTCACCTTGCTCACCACTCCAGCACCCGAACTGGCCCGCCTCATGGCAGTTTGGCTTGAAGGAAAAAGTAGGGAAAGGAAGGGAAAGATAGGAAACCTTTACAAACATTGTATAGGTTTCCCTACCTTTCCCTTCTTTTCCCTATCTTTTCTTTCAAACAAAACATAACCTAAATAAAAAAAAAACTAATAAAAAATGAAGAGAACTGGTTTTTGGTAAAAACCCTAGTGCTCCCTACAAGAGTATGGGTCTACTATGCGTAAGCTACACACAGAACTGGTTCTTTGACATCCCTAAACAACGAGGTGGCACAGTCTAATCTATAGTGGGACTAACTTTCTACTTCTAGCAATCCCACATGGACATTGGTTCTTGGCTTCTTATAGTCAAAACTATGGTTCCCAATAGGAGTGCAACTTGGGTGGGACCAACCCAAGCTTGGATTGATCCAACCTGCAATTTTGCATGGGTTAGACTTGGCTTTTTAGCCCTCAAGCTGGGCCTGGGCCCAAAGTTTTTTTTTTAATTTTTTTGGTTAGTCCCGGTCCTAGACCTTAGGTAACCTTAACTCAGCCCGAACCCAATCCAACCTTATTCCAATCCGAGCTTTGCTTAACTATGTATACATATAACATACATTTATATCATAGACTAATTAACCAACCCAAGCCGAGCCACAATCAAGTGCATCAAATTTTTGTGCGGGCTGGTCCAAATTGGACAGTTTGAGCTTGACCTTGTGCTCAGGTCTTAATCCCAATGCGTAGGGTTGGATTGAACTTAAACTTAGCCCAGCTAGCCGAACTTGCACCCCCTAGTTCCTAAAGATACCGAATTTGGTAGACACTATAAGTAAGCAAGCTGAATATGTGCAATATCATTTTGCTGACGTGTGTCCCACAAATGTGTACAGAGTGAGCAAACTAAAAAGCCTGTGCATTGCTCAATATCCCTTCACGGATGAATATGTGGATGTGATTTCATTATTGGATAAATTACGAATTTCTACCACATGTTTTAGAGATAGTGGCACTTAACCATCAAACTTTATTTTTGTCATTAGCATTCCATCAGTTAATATTAGCAAATATTCTTTTTACACGTTTCTAAAACCCTAAGTTGCTCTTATATCATTTTATGAGGCTATTTTTGTAGAAGATTGATAAATTACAATAAAAAAAGAAAATTGCAAAAAATTATAAGAAATACAACCAAAAATCAAATAAAAGAGGAAAATAAAATACAAAAACACATTGAGAATTGCAAAAACAAAAAACAATAAAAATGAAATTAAAGAATACAATAAAAATATAAAAATTACTAAAAAAAAAGACAGTACAAAAGAATACTGAACTTTATATAGGCATTTCTATAAAATTCCCAGTTAGTACCTTGTGCTTTGGGCCTAGTGCTATTTTGGCCCCCGAACTTAAAAATGCGTCAATTCAATACTCAAGCTTTTAAAACGTGACAATCCAGTATCTGCCATTAATTAGCAGTTACCCAGCCATTAAGTGGCATTTGAAAAAAGCATAAATGCCCTTCAAGTGTTATGTATTTTTCTTTATCAACCATTTAAACGTTGACAAAAAATTAACAGTCCAAAATCCTTGCCTTTTCCATTCAAGAAAGTTGGGGTCACGTTTGAGTGGGCATTATGGTGACCTCAACTTTCTTGAATAGAAAAGGCAAGGATCTGAAATTATTAAATTTTTATCAATGTTTAGATGGTTGATAAAGAAAATTAAATGACATTCGAAGGACATTTATATCTTTATCAAATGCTACTTAATGGCTGATTAACGACTAATTAACAGTAGGTACTAGATTGTTATATTTTAAAAGTTGGAGTACTAAATTGTTGCATTTTAAAGTTTAAGAATTAGTGCCACTAGACCCAAAATACAAGGGGTTTAGTGTGACTACTCCCAACGTAATTTGTAATTTTCCCTTCTTTCAGATGGATCATTTGGATATATCCAAAAACTATGGAGTGCCGCAAGGCGTATGTTGACTGGATAGCGTAAAATAGTGCTACCATCAGGCCACTTCCACGTGGCAACAAGTAGTCCCCAATATTCTTTCGTCGTCTATATAAACGATATCGAAAGAACAAGTATCCTCATCTCTTCTCGGTATCCTGCTACTTCTTTTGGAATCAATCCGCGTGTTTTGCGCAGGAGAAATTAACTTCGAACAGCTAGCCATTGTAATCATGCCTGCTGGAGGATTCTCTGCGCCAGCAACTACCGGCATCGAGTTCGAAGCCAGGATTACGCCTATCGTAATTATTTCTTGTACCATGGCCGCCACCGGAGGTCTGATGTTCGGTTACGATGTCGGAGTTTCAGGTTTCTTTCTCCTTTTTCATGCAACCTTGGATTTCTATATGCTCCTTTTATTATTTATTTTCTAGATTAAACGAAATAAATTCCTGTAAGCATGATGCTTAATTTTAATTTTTTCAATTATCGTTGCATAGATTTTGATTGGCAATTCTTAGAGTCAGATTTTTTTTCCAAGTCGTTATTTCGATGATGAGTGATAACGAGCGAGCTCCAGCTTCTGGAATCACCACTAAAACGTTATTTTTTGGCCTTCTATTCAGTAAGAACTAATCCAATTGTTTCTTGCAAGTTGCTGCTAAAGGTTGTCGCCTACGACCTACGTTGTCTGGGAAGAAATCAATGAAGAGAATAAATTTTCTCACATTTAACGAGGAGAACAGAAACTCAGATATTGAACTCTTTTCGTTGAAAAATTAAACTGCAAGGGGTATACCCCAAGGGGAAGAGAATCAGATCTTGAGTCATTATTTCTGGAAACCAGAGACAGAGAGAGACATCTCTAGTCAAGATGTTGGTCCGATCGCCTACAGAGACAAGAGTTTACAGTCCGGACGCTGGACCGATCTGATACTCAAGTCAGACGGGAGACACTCAAAAGATTTCGTACAGAAATATTAAAATACCCTTGAAGATTCTAAGTACAGCAGGGGCATTTTGTAATTTCAACTTTGTTTAACTCGTTCAGACTTAAGACGTACTTTTGCTGATGGCTGCGACTGACTGACCCTAGTCCAGTAGTCCCTAGTTGCCCCACAGACTCTCCGTTTTGTTGAACGTATAATATAACTCCGCTTCGGATCTCCTATACTTTTCATGCACTTCCATTTGGTCGGTGTTCAATTACACGTGTAAAAACATCCACATGTGTGAGATAGTACATTAGTATGGACCAAACTGATCGCAGGTATTGGAACAAACCGCAATTAAACAAATTAATGGAGTCTTAGTTTTTTTCTTGGTAATCAACACCTCGGCATTCGTCTTTGTAGACCTCATTTTTTTTTTCTAATTATTCAAGTTAATCCCATCATAAGATATAATAAGGTTATGTTTGGTTTGATAACAAATAAGAGATATATAAAAAATTGAGGGAAAGTTCTTAAGAAATTTCCACAGCCTAAGAAAATTCTTTTTTTGTTTTCTATTTAATATTGTTTTCCAAGAAAATCAATCATTTTCCTTCTTAATTTTTGGGTGCAACCAATAAATAGTAATAGTGCTTATACTCTAATTTTTCCAAAGCTCATAATGAGCTCTTTTAGAGGAAATCATAATGGGTATTTGCTAAAATGTATTCAGTGCTTATTTAATTACCAATCATAGTGACTTGTTTAATAAAAATAATAATAAATTTGTTGCAGGTGGTGTAACCTCTATGCCGGATTTCTTGAAGAAGTTCTTTCCGGTAGTGTACCGGAGGACGAGTGAGCCGGGGATAGACAGCAATTATTGTAAATACGATAATCAGGGATTACAACTCTTCACTTCATCTCTCTATCTGGCGGGATTGACCGCCACCTTCTTTGCATCTTATACTACAAGAAGGCTGGGCCGGAAGTTGACGATGCTTATTGCTGGAAACTTCTTCATAGTTGGAGTAGCATTCAATGCCGCGGCAAAGAATCTCGCAATGCTCATAATAGGACGGATCCTCCTTGGTTGCGGTGTTGGTTTCGCTAACCAGGTTTGGCTAGCTCTTTGCTCTACTCCGTTTCTCTCTAGCTAGCTCAAAACATTTGCTTGCCTCCTTTGTCCCTGCGTGTTTACTCTCACTTGATGAAAGATTAGCTAGCTCATTAGTACTGTGTGTGATCCAAACAATGACATCAACACGGTTTTCAATTTTGTACTAATCCTTCCCAGTTACATCGGACGTTGTAGTCGGATGGACCATGGAACCAATTAGTGTGGGTTTCTGTCGTCAGGTATTGAAAAAAAGTGGATCAAAAGGTCCCACTATCATGAATTCATGACAAAAACAAAGACTCAAATTGATCTCCCAAGATCCTGCACTACTTTTTTGTTCAAGTTGTGAAAACAATGCAAGTTTATTACAAATTTGCACATGATTGTGCAATTGTGCACTTCTCCACCAAAGCAGTTTTAAATTTTATCCACTTGTATTCTTCACCAGAAAGCATGCCTTATCTGTTTGGTAAAGTGGGCTTTTCCTTTTTCAATATTTCAACCGTGGCGGAAAAAATAAAAAAATAAAAAACATGGGCCCATTCCTATGATATGGTGGTATATATCATGTCTTTCGGGTTTTACACTTTTACTGTCTCCCTTTCTCTTTCAGTCTTTCTGGTGGAGCCATGGAGGTTGGTTGTGATTAAATGAGAATGTTGGGTAACGCGCCTTGGTGATTGAGATACTACCGGGTTTGAGAACCCTTGAAAGGAAAAATGGGTGCGGTATTGTTTTTGTTTAGCCATATGGACGGATTAGTGGAGTTGAGTCAGCTATCTCACCAAGACGGGCAAAATATTGAGCCAGACCATCTTGTTAGGGGAGAGCACAGTTGATACAACCTCTATTGTTTGACTAATATGGATGGGCTATTGAATATTATTGATTACCCAACTGAGAGGAGTCAATGTACGTGTTGAACACGTGTAAAACAGAAAGACAAAAGATACCGAAAGGACAATGCTGACTATTTTTCAAGGGCCAATAATTCTGCATGTTGTGGAAGGGTGGTGGGCCTGTGGGGACGTAGAGGCTAGTGGTAGAGCTGGGTTATGCAGCCCAACAAATATGAATCATGATCAGACCGTTGATCTGGCATTGGTAAATGGGGCATCTATGTGAGATAAATGGAATTTCCATTGGTTCTACCTCTTGCTTACTCCTGCCATTTTGTCTTTCTGACTGTTAATGTAGGATTTGTATGTCTGGATTCTAGCCTTCTGGGCTTCTAGCTTCTCTGGGTCTTTGGGTAAATCCTTCTCCACCTCACAAGCTAGCTATCGAATCTGGATGTTGTTTTTATCTACTAAACTTTTAATTTTATTTTTTTATACATAAAGTCGCACCATATAACATGGGCATACGGCCCCAAATATCCAGAATAAGGCTTCTGCTTTAATTCATCATCCGGACACCTCTTCATTCTCCATTCAGAGAAATTCCTAATCTGTTATTTGACTCCATTAATCTGGTTTTTTGTGCCTGTATGAAACACAACAGGCTGTTCCACTATTCCTATCAGAGATAGCACCGACCAGAATACGTGGAGAACTGAACATACTGTTCCAGCTGAACGTCACCATCGGAATACTCTTCGCCAACCTCGTCAATTACGGAACCGCTAAGTAAGCATTGAATCGAATACTCCATCCCCAAATTTCTCACTGTCTTTTTTGCGACAAGGGCAATGTCTTGATCCTTTATTAATTGAGATAATTCTTATGCTACTCGTTTAATTTCTAACCCTGGATCTGCTAGCGTGTACAACAGGCTACGTAGTCAAATCATTAGCAAAAACATCAGCCATCCGTATAACTGTCAGATAACCAGCAATTGACGTGTTTACTTATGATTGGATCACGTAGCCTGACTTTCTTTTATCCATATGCATGAATTGACGGTTGAGTGTTGACAGTTGACACTATAAATTTCAACAGCTCCACTACCGAGAGTCCGAGACTGACCCAAGTCTGTAGCAGTGGATTTAGAAGGGGGAGGGGAATAAATCATCGGTGCTTTTGAATGACGCATGAAACTTGGCTTCTTTGGTCTTTGTTTTGTTACCACTTGGGATTAATCAGTGTTGATGGTGTGAAACTGAAACATACATCCTAAATAAAAGTACAATATTATAATACTAAATAAAATAAAAATTAACAATAAAAAAAACAAAGTTTTGGCTTTATATTGGATGTTCCGTCACCCATGAGTCATGACACGGCCAGAGAGAGAGAGAGAGAGAGAGAGAGAGAGAGAGAGAGAGTTGTGCGAAAATGACAAGTGCCCACACTGTTAGAGATTTACAGCATTGCCAATTTGCCAACTATGTGGCTTTTCTTGCCCGATGAACCTTAGCCGCTTTTGCCGCCATTTGCTACTACAATTATATGAAGCTTTCTAAATTCTAGCCTTTGTTGTTTTTGCTTCTGTTTATTTGCTTTAATATATCTTTTTTCCCTGATAGCAGTAGCTTTGTTCAACCAAGCTAAAAAGAAAAGATTCCATTTACATGTATTTTTACAAATTTACTTTACCTGCACCTTCCTCTATTTGCTTGTACCGTTACGAAACGTTCTTTAATCCATGAACAGTTAAAAGCTAAAGTTACCCCAAAAAAGGGGAAAAAAACTCCAGAACATTTGTGGCATCCAGATTGAAATTACTCAAAAGTTATTACGAATTTTCATTTTATCTTGGTGAGAATTTTGGTCACTTTATTTCAGAGGAAAAATATATGTTGAGATTACAATGAGATATGAGATATTCTCATGCTGATGTGTAATATGTTGAGATTACAATGAGATATGAGATATTCTCATGCTGATGTTTAATCTATTTCTATTTTTTAATTCTGTTGTCGTGACTGTTGACATTACATCTCAATGCTTGACCCTACCATAGGATCAAAGGAGGCTGGGGCTGGAGGCTCTCTCTGGGGCTGGCTGGGATCCCTGCGTTTCTCCTAACCTTGGGGGCCCTCTTGGTGGTTGACACCCCTAACAGCCTCATAGAGCGGGGTCGCTTGGAAGAAGGAAAAGCGGTACTGAGGAAGATAAGAGGCACTGAAAAGGTCGAACCTGAGTTCCAGGAGCTCGTGGAAGCGAGTCGCGTGGCTAAACAAGTGAAGCACCCCTTCAGGAACCTCCTTAAGCGGAGGAACCGACCCCAGCTGCTCATTGCAATAGCCTTACAGGTCAGGATTCAGGATTACTAGCTCACTGCTACAGCTCTAACTTTTCCCACAAGTGGACCATACATTAGAGCATTATATCAAACAGTGGTGCCCTGATCCGTCGTCCCAAGTCCTATATATTCAATATATCATCACAAATAGTAAGTCCCTCGGTTTATGTTCATATTGATGAGGTTTGTGTGTGAATGCGGTCACTCTGCTTCGACTATCAACTGAGACACCGCCGCGTCATTTGGTTGACCTATTGGCTAGAAACTGCCCAATTCCAACGCTACCTACCCAAGCAAATAGGGTACTAATGCAACGACATAATTGGCTTGAGTAGTCCAGCCCATGAATCAATTGGATAATGCTTACCAACCCCCAACTGTGAGCCAGATAGGGTGTGAATTCCACAAGAAGTCGGCAGAAAGCCAGAAACCCAAAATCTTCTTTTCCTACGCAGCCAAGTCCAAGTCAGAAAAGCCACGTACCCTATCTACTTCACTGATGTACTAATCTTAACATGCAAATCAGTTTGATCTCTAGGTGGGTTATACTGGTATTAATACTGGGTTTTTTAATTTTGTCGGTGGTTCCACAGATTTTCCAGCAATTCACGGGTATCAATGCGATCATGTTTTATGCCCCGGTGCTGTTTAATACAGTGGGATTCCATAGTGATGCATCTCTTTACTCGGCCGTCATAACAGGAGCTGTCAACGTTGCGTCCACCGTCGTCTCTATCTACTCAGTGGACAAGGTTGGACGTCGGGTGCTTCTACTGGAAGCTGGGGTCCAGATGTTCTTCTCACAAGTGGTCATAGCAGTGCTACTAGGGATCAAGGTGACGGACCACTCAGACAACCTTGGCAAAGGCTATGCTATCCTAGTGGTGGTTATGGTCAGCACGTTTGTTTCATCATTTGCATGGTCATGGGGGCCTCTTGGGTGGCTTATTCCGAGTGAGACGTTTCCGCTGGAGACCAGATCGGCGGGGCAGAGTGTGACGGTGTGCGTCAACCTGCTCTTCACCTTTGTGATCGCACAGGCCTTCCTCTCAATGCTCTGCCACATGAAGTACGCCATTTTCGCATTCTTCTCTGGGTGGGTACTCATCATGTCCTTCTTTGTGTTATTCCTTCTGCCAGAGACCAAGAACATCCCCATTGAGGAGATGACCGAGCGAGTGTGGAAACAGCATTGGTTCTGGAAGAGATTCATGGATGACGATGGCTAGTTGTAGGGGGGCTGTAATTCTTAATTCTGCATCGTGTGTTTTCGTACTTTTCCCGTAATGGCATCGATGCTTCTGCATAGTTGTAAGAGATAGTTGTGCACCCGTTTCAATGAATCGGGATAAATAGATTGATTATTAGAAAACTATTTTAATCCTTTTAATAGTCTTTTACTCCCTACCTCGCCACCCGCCGAAAAAGAAAACGAAAAAAATAAACCCTTTTCTAGTCTAACCTACTGTTGCTTACTGTATATTTGTGATTTGGTCAATTTGAGATAGCGTAGCCCATGAAGTCAAAGTGTTGTGAAACCCATTATCATGTTCAAAGGAAATGCCTTTTTCATCTGTATATCTACGTTCAAGAAGTGAT